TATATGGCAGAAATAAAGTGCGGAAAGTAAAGAAAGCGTCGCGACGATCACTCGCGTAAATTACAAATCCCCAAAAAATGAAAAATAAAATAAACCGCGACCATGGCCTCGCGTAAATTACATCCATGGAACAAATTACAAATATGATAACAAAATATTTAATTAATAATAATCGGAGACCGACTAAAACGTAGCGGAAAACAAATAGAGAACGTTAGTGAAAAAAAAGTTAGGCGGAAATCAATGACAAATAATAAAGCAATTAATAATGAAAGAAAGAAAATGCAATTGGGAAATTTATTATTTTATTAATTTTGAAAAGCTTTATTTTTAATTTCTGAAAAAAGAAATTTAATCTTAATTTTGAAACAATGGTTTTTAATAAAAATGTTTTTGTTTTAATTTTTTTTAAAAAGGATTCAATTTAAATTTTTTTAAAAAAATAATTTTTAATTTTAATTTTTTTTATTATAAGAACAGTGTTTTAAAACAAGGTTTAACTAGCAAATATTTTTTAATTAAACTAACCATTTATTATGACATAATTACAATTTAAAGAAAATTAGAATAATAATAATAATAATAATAATAATAAGAAAAATAAAAGGGGAAAAGTAGGGTTCACACTGAAGCATTTCAATCTTTAGGTTTTTAGAAATCTCATCTTTTTCTTCTTCACGGTGGCGGCGTCGTTGCAGCTCCTTTGAGTTTTGCTCCATTCTTGCATGGCCGGAAACGATTTCTCTCCTTCTTCTTCGGTTTGTTCCACCTGAAAACAACAGAAAAACTTTGTTATTGACAAAAAGAACTGCTCACCTCGTTCGGGGTTCGAAGCAGTTCGCGGTGGTTTTGCGCCGTTTGGTGGATTTGCTGACGCTTTCCTCTTCTGATAAGTCGTGAGAACGGCCGCCGTTTTTTCCTTTTGTGTGCTCTCCCCTTTTTCTCAAATGCAACTCATGTTTATATAGGTAACAAATTAGGGTTAACTCTAACCTAATGCCCACTTTAAAGCCCAACTTAAAGAATTAGTCAAAACTAAAACAAATTAAAACAAACTTAAAACCCTATTTATTTATTAAACATTAAAAATATTATAAAAAGAATAAAATCTTTTCTAATATTTTTAATTTTATAATTTTTGGATGTTTTTATGAATAATATGAAAAAAAGTGAAAAAAAAACTATTTTTGTTATTTTTTTTTATGAAAATAGAAAACTTAGAATAAAAATAAAAGAAAAACAAAAAGTGAAGAAGGTGGGATTCGAACTCTCGACCTCTCACACTCACAACTCCTTACACACGGTCTCTTGCCAATTGTGCCATTTTATTCATTCGAAATAAAGTGGCACTAGAAACTATGTAAAGGTAGGACAAATTTGGGGTGCGACACACCTCAACATCTAATCCTCCACCCTTACCGAACACTTCTTTGCCTCCAACAAATCACAACAACAATACCACTCAAACACCACTTCCACTTCAAGTTATTCCCTCCAACAACAATTCCACCCGTCCCTCTCCTATTGTCTCTAGAATTTCCAAGATAATTATTCAAATGCCAAAATGATATGATGACTTTGTTTACAATAAACTTTTATCCTATCAACAACCTATATATCCTATCCAAGCTTACCAATATAATCTACACATCTCTCCCATCTCTAATCACTATATTCTCACCATCACTTCTCAATCTGAACCTACTACCTTTAAACAAACTTTTCAACATGACTGTTGGAATGTAGCTATGATCACTGAAGTTCAAGCCCTATAACAAAACAAAACTTGGCTCATGACCCATTTACCACCTCACAAGAAAGCTATAGGTTGCAAATGTGTTTGCAAGATCAAGAGGCATGTTGTTGGATCCATAGAAAGATACAAAGTTCATTTGGTTACAAAGAATTGCACACAAATTGAAGGCATTGACTACATGGACACATTTTCACGTGTTGCTAAAATAACTACCATTAGACTCATTTTAGCCATTGCTGCATCACTCAATTGGCATTTGATTCAACTAGATGTTAATAATGCTTTTCTCCATGGTGATTTGGATGAAGAAGTTTATATGACATCACCTCCTGGACTTATTCCATCCAATCCTACCTATTTGCAAACGTAAAAAGTCTCTTTATAGACTTAAGAAGGCCATTAGACAGTGGTTTTCAAAACTATCCTCCTTACTCCTTTCCTTGCATTACACTAAATCCCCATCTGATCACTCTCTATTCACTAAACTTGAGGGCAACACATTCATAACACTTCTCATATATGTTGATGACTTGATTATTTTTGGTAATAGAATTGATACCATTAATCATCTCAAACACATCCTTGACACTACTTTCAAAATAAAGGACCTTGGTTATTGCATATTCCTTGGCCTTGAGATTACGCGTTCACCTCTTGGAATTTCCATTTGCCAACGAAAATACACCCTTGACCTTCTCTATGACACATGCCTCCTTGCTGCCAAACCTTGCCCTACACCTATGACAAAATGTCATACATATTCCATTGATGATACTTCACCACCCACGGATCCCACTACATATCGTAAGCTCATTGGACGACTCATCTATTTATGTTCCACAAGACCAAGCATAAGTTATTATGTGCAACAACTCAACCAGTTTACGTCCTCCCCTAAATCCACTCATCTTCAAGTTGCATATCGTGTCCTCAAATACCTCAAGCAATCTCCCTCTTAAGGCCTATTTTTCTCTTCCTCTTCCTCTTTTCAGCTAAAAGTCTTCAGTGACTTAGATTGGGCTTCGTGCATTGATACCAAAAGATTCGTCACAGATCTTCCTTGGAGATTCTCTCATCTATTGGAAATCTAAGAAACAATACATCGTCTCAAGATCATCTTCTGAAGCCAAATATCCCGTCGTTGCTTCGACAGTTTATGAGCTTCAATGGTTAACATACTTACTAGCTGATCTACGCGTTTTATTCACTACACCTACAATACTTTACTGCGACAATGATTCAACACGACACATTGCCTCCAATGCAACCTTCCATGAATGCACCAAACATATTGACATTGATTGTCATCTTGTTAGGGAAAAGCTTTAAGCTAAACTATTTCAATTATTACTTATTCCAAGTTCAGCAAAACTTGCAGACATATTAACCAAACCACTTGATCCTTTACCCTTCTCTCTTATCCTTTCCAAGCTTGGTCTCTCGTCTAGCTACGCTCCAGCTTGAGGGGGGTATTAGGAATAACTCAGTTACTATTCTTTTCCTGCGCTTTGCTCTAACTGTTTTTTTTTTTTTTCATGCATAGTTTGTTTTGTTGTTAGCTTGCTACACAAGCAACAAATTGTATGTGTGTGTGTGTGTATAGGGGGATCAAAGAATTGATTTTAAAATAGAGAGACAAAAACTTTATTTTAATCAAAATAGGGGGATTAGAAATGTATTTAACCTTATATTTATCAACTAATTCAACCATCAATTTTATAAAACACAACAAATTTAATGGATTGACTTATGATTGTTGGAACAAAATTGATTTGTACCATATCGCTTAGATTTTGATGATAACAAAGTATTTAAAGAACAATTGAGTATATTAGTTTTATTTCAAGTGTGCAGGACCATAGACTAAAATTTTAAGAATAAACTAAGTATTGGTTATGTTAGTGTACATCTAAAAAGATATGGTAGTTAGTTCATGACCTCTTTATTTGAGTAATGGAAGACTCATTCTCCCTTTATTTGCGGGGGAGACAGTTTCCTTGTTGACTATCCTCTTTAGTCAATTATTCTTTGGATATGTAAAATCCCGTGTTTGTTTAACACATGAGTATTGGAGTTATTCAGGAGGCCCAATGGGGCGACCAGCATTACGCTTTTCGAGCGACCTCTTTTCCCTTCTCGGGTGATCCTTTAGGTTCTTGGGATGCTCGCCCATTACTAATGTGTTTAGCTTGTCTTACTTTCTCATAGTAATGGATTACCCTTTCTTATGACCTCATAAAATTATAAAGATTCATACCTGTTTAAACACGACAAATGTCCCATTTGACTTTATTTTGTTTCCAACGCGCCGCTCTCAATTTCTGACTTCGATAATTCCATCATTACATTCTTCCTCTGATTCTACAACATCTTCTCCACACCAATCACAATCTTCACCCGACTCTGATGAGTCTGCTACTTTTTCCAATGACTTGGGTAAAGAAATTCTCAATGGTCTATGGGCACCTTCAACCACTTTAATTATGAAAACATCTTCATTCAACATCCATTTTTGCATTCAACATCATTGAATATTTTGTTCTGATTAGGATGCATTCTACATCCATTTTTGCATGTTCACCGGTGTTATCGTCAAAACACATAATTTTCCATCATATTTGTTATGAACTCAAAAACCTTCCGACACCAAACACGGAAAGGAACACCATAACAATGTAGCCACGTTACTATCTCGTCATCCATATCTGATGATCTCTACTTCCTAACCTCTTTGAACCATTACTTCAACCTGTTGATTTCTTTTGCCACCAACACTTTTAGTTCACATGCCTCCTTTCTCTCAAGTAAACACAAATTCGCTTCTAGTACTGGAGTTGGTTAGAGAGATGTTGAAATTTCTCTAAAACTTTTAGAGCCTTATGAATCGAAATATCCGTTGGAGTACAAACAATATATAAGTATCCTTAATTAAGCTACTGTAGCAATCTTAATATATCATCCACATATATAAATCTATTGCATTATTATGAATTTTTTTTCTTTCAATGGTCAATCGAGTGATAGGTGCCGACAAAACATTTTCCTACTTGAACTACCCACGAATGGTGTTACATAAATGCCCATCACTCTTTCTCATACCTGTTTTCAAAGCCCCAACTAAATAATTAAAGTTAACAATTTTTTATTCATAATAAAGTCAAATTAACTAAAACTATTATAAATAAAAGGATAGACATTGGCATAAGAAGAAACTAAGCCTCTCATTTGATTGATAGAGACGCACATGGCGACCACCGGAGGTGGCTTCTGGTTGCTGTATGAAGGAAGCATATCTTGTTACGACAACAGTGTTGAACATCGACCTTACCACCGTAAATGTGGTTGTCCACTTCATAATAAAAACTCACGTATCAACTACAATCACAAGCTTCCAAGGTGTAACAGCACTGTTTCATTTCCAATGAAGAGGAAGCGGATCAGTTTGGTCTTGATGACTTCTGTTGGAGAAGGAGGAGGAAGAACCGAATCACATGCTTTTTTTATTGATTCAAGGTTTGATAAGAATTAAGTGCTTCATAATATATAGTTCTCATTCTCTAGTTAATTACTGAAAAAAGTTGAATCCGGTGAAGTGATCGGGTTTTGATTCAAGTAGTAAATGTTTAGATTCAGTGTGAATTACTATGATATATTGTTCAGAAGTTATGCTTTAAAATCTCAGTAAAATTACTGTATCGCCATAATTTGGACAAAGATTATTGTAATATTACCAATAATCTAATACTATGAATTCCTATTATAATTTCACGTTAAGTTGATATATATTTTTATGTAAATGTTATTTAAAATATTAAAAAAGTTAAATTTATTTTTATAAATTATGGCTACAAGAGATATGTTGTTATCATATGGCTGTTGGGATGTGAAATTTTGATTGAATTATGGGTTTTAAAATGCCTTAATTGCTGATGACTTAGAGGGGGGGTTGAGGAAGTGAAGCCTCAACAAGAAAGAATTAATGAAGAGTAGGTGGGACAAGATTGGTCATGGAAAGGTTCAAATATTCTCATTTTTATTTTTAGCAAGAAAGAAAGAATTACACTGATCGCATACTATAAAAATTCTAAATTTTCATTTCTATTCTTTGGATTTTAAAACTCATACATGTTTATTATACATATAATTACTTTATTAACACTTTTATTTTTATCAAAAAATTTTGAATTTTAATCTTTAGATTAACCTTACACGTTGTGTTTTCCCTACACTCATGTAGCGATCACACACTATAAAAATTTCAAAATATCTTTCATATTAAAATTTGAATACGTTTATTTTGCACATAATCACTTCATAGTATCCTTATTTTGATAAAAAAAAAAGGTCTAAATTATAATATTCGGATTAACCTTATACACTATCTATTTATATTTTGTGTTTTCTTACAATGGAGATTGTGTTACTTGTGTAATTTGTTTCCAAAAAAGGTCAATGTTTGGGTTTTATGCAGTGCTTGTGTATTTTTAATGAACCTTACAATATATGTCATTTATAAATCAATCTCACAATAAATCATATATATTTTGTATTCAATAATAAGATCAAATATTCAAACAAAAATATTGGTAAATCATACATCAGTGTTCATAAAATACAATGACTCATAATTCAAACTATCAAAATGTTAATATCAAAGTACAAAGTAAAAGACAATTAATGTGTATATGTGACACCCATGTTCCTCCTTTGTCTCATGTACTACAACACATGTCTTGCCTCTGCTAAGATGACATGTAGATTGATCCTCTCAGGAGTGCCTTTCTAAAACTCACCCTAGATTATGGTCTTTCTCCCAACAGGCATAATACATGACATATCTGCAACACATCCACGACATAGTATGCTCTTTTATGCTCCTATTTAGGATCTCTTGATGAGCTGGCCACAGGGGATCACCTTCTGCATCTAGTGATAAGTTAGAATGTGATGCTCTATAAAATTATTGGAACGTACTACATGAACGAGGAGCTGGAACACGATGTACATCCTCTAGAACCAAATGCTCATAGTACTCCACAAATATACCATCAACATCTCAGCAGAAGACAGTGGCAGAAGCAACAATAATGAGGGTGCCTCAGGGTCATGGGGAAATATAAACGTATTTATTGAGTTTCTTCACCATCCTTAAACAAATTTTTATCGTCTATTTAGTGAGTATCAACGCTTAAGACACTACCATTAGTGATCCGAGTGAAACTTAGAACTTAGACGAACTTCATCTTCTACCTCAAAACATCATTTTCCATTTACGACACTCTATTTCTCCATTAAACCAAGCTCAAAAACATCATTGTTTCTATAAACAAAACTCGAAAAAATCATTTCTTTCATTAATAAATTTTAGAACTCCATCACATATTATCCAACTTGAATGAGGCAAGAAAAATATGGGTTCAAGTTAGCAATGTTAGTTGTTGTTGTTGTTCTTGTTGTTATTTTTTGTTGTTGTTATTGTTATTGTTGTTATTGTTGTTGTTGTTATTTTTTGTTGTTGTTGTTGTTGATGTTGATGTTGTTGTTGTTGTTGTTGTTGTTGTTGTTGTTGTTGTTGTTGTTGTTGTTGTTGTTGTTGTTGTTGTTGTTGTTGTTGTTGTTGTTGTTGTTGTTGTTTCTCTTGTTGTTGTTGTTTTTGTTGTTGTTGTTGTTGTTGTTGTTGTTGTTGTTGTTGTTGTTGTTGTTGTTGTTGTTGTTGTTGTTGTTGTTGTTGTTGTTGTTGTTGTTGTTGTTGTTGTTTTTGTTCTGATTCTTGTTCTTGTTCTTGTTTTTGTTCTTGTTGTAGTTCTTGTTCTTGTTTTTGTTCTTGTTGTCTTTGTTATTGTTGTTGTTGTTGTTATTGTTATTGTTGTTGTTGTTATTGTTGTTTTGCTACTGCATTTTTTTATTTTATTAAAAGACATACAACAAAGGTTGTTTAAAGTAACCGTTGTGATAGGTTGTACGCTACTTGACTTTTAATCACGGTCGCACGACCGTGGTGGAAATAATCATACATAAAATCACACCCTACCTCACAACGGTTGGTCAGACGTGGTTGTATCCATTTTCCAACCGTTGTGAGATGTATTTTCCGTAGTAGTGGTAGATGCGGGAACATAAGGCGAGACCCACAAGTCAACCATCCAAAGCAAAAGGCTATCACCTTTAAGGGTTGTGTCTTTCGGTTCTCATTGTACGAAGTGAAATAGATATCTTTTGAAACAATATAGTTAAAAGAAACCCTAAAAGGCTCGATCTTCAGATTCCCCCTGAATGAGATAATTGAGCAGGCACATGACAGTTCTTCATAGTAGTCTTCAACATATTCCCATTGGAAGACATGTGGAAAATAATGGTGGATCCATGCCTAAAAAATAGTTCATATTCAATATTTCAAATAAAATATTAGTAATCGTGTAACATAAGTATAATGTAATTAAGAGCAATAAGGGTGCAAAAAATTACCATAAATAAATAGTTGTTTGTTATCATGTGTCTCATCTTCCATAAAAAATATATATCTAACTTGAAATAGAGGTAACTAAACAAGTTTCCCCAATTGTACTTATGAATTATCTCTAATCCAATGAAGTATCCAATATAGACAACGTCGACATAGGTCACACCCTTTTCTATCAATATGTACTTGTCGACTGAAACCATGAAGTATGACTTCAACGTACAAGCTCTATGGTATGCAACCGGAGCAAAACCATCATACAAGTTCACCATGAATTAAAATATAGCATGACATCCTATAGTGTCATCTATCTTTTGTTAGGCTTTACCCAAGTCAGTTCCTAAATATCTAACCATCATGTCTAGTGCATCATGTCTACTGATTTTAGAGTAATCTAATAATCTTCATGTGATCGGAAAATGTAGAAGGCACGAGACATCATTAAGTGTGATGGTCATATCACTGATCAGAATATGATTTGAAGAGGTCTTTGCATACCATCTTTCCACAAATGCAGACAATAAACCATTGTTAGTATAACCATATCTATTCCTACATAAATCCTTTAGCTTAGATAGTTACACGATATTCTGAAACCATGATTCATTAGGTTGTCGACAGCTTTGCAACCTTCCTATTATGGTTAATACATTTCAATGTATCACATTAATAAAAAAATTAAATACATCATCATCAGACAGTTCAACTATTATGATAAATGTGGTTAAAAGAGTAATTAAATATTTATGATATCTCTCCATCCAGCACATTCCTAGAAGTTTGGTTTGCATACAAAGGTAGTAGTGAAGGGTCTAAAGGCCTCCTACAAAACTATCAAGTATGACATCATCATATACAACAGGGGCTTTGGGAGCAGAAGGGGCTTCATGATGAGCCAGAGACACATGAATTTGAGAAGACGATGCTAGAGAAAGATGATCACGAGAAGTTGATGCTTTAGCATCAAATGGAGTTTCTCCAACTATGGGTCACGAGGGTCTAGCTTTCTCCCTATGAACAAAAGCATATTGGGTCACTCTACCATGTCTCATTCTTTTTTGGTTGTTAAAAAATTTCCCTATAGTCAGACAAGAAAAAACATGCCATAACTAAAGAAAGTATTGTCAAACCAAACAAAAAAGATAAAAAAGTAATTTTGGATTTTATTATCCAGACTAAGGGTATGAATTTCAAAATCTAGAAAAAATAAAAACCAGAAGCGATGGCGCATAAACAAAGCATATAAACCATAAAAAAAACAAAGGTTCAAAATTTCAAAGCAAGGGAGTTAAGGGAAAAAAAACAAATATGACATATCTATTGTATTTAACCTAATGTATCATACCTATAATCTATTTAGGTAATCCATGCATCTCAAATTAAAAAAAAGTAAGGAAATGACAAACATACCAAACATGAGAGATGAATGATCTTGGATTGAATATAGTCGAGTAAAATTAAGAAATGTGTTAAGCTTGAATGCAATGGAATAGAAGTTCGGAGAAATCTTGAAAAATGCTTGAAAAAGTGAGAGATGTGCTAAGCTTGGATGCGGTTGTTAGCTTCTGAACTTCCTCGTAGATGGTTTTTTTGTTCTCCTTGGCAACCTTGTGTTAGACTAAGGCTACGATCTAGAATGGGGTTGAATAGATTGCCAAATAAAATTTTTCTTATTAAAAATTCTATTTTGAAAAATATTTTTCTATGGCAAACGAAAGCGAATCTGGATTGACTCTCGTTTATTCGAACCGTTATTGGTAGAATTAGATATGTATACAACCAACAAGTTCAATATAATTTATTTTAATATAAACCACACTAAGATAAATGATTTTCAATGAGATGTGAAATTCAACTTGACTAATGAATTTTATCGAACACTTAGTGTGTAGTCAATATATCAAACACTTTGTGTACAATATGTTGCACCCCAAATTTTGACCCCTTAGATCCTCATCATCATTTTAGGATCATATTCATTTGATTAACTAACCTTAACCCATTTCAAGTTTATCTTTGTCAAGATGTAGATAAATCAGGGTTCTGTACCGTCAGAATCGAGGCTTCGG